GTGCTATACAATGTTGTCTTTGATCTTGACTAGGGATGGTGATGAAGACTTTCATCATCTTTGAGATGCAGTTGACAGTGTGATTTTGAATCGAATGTGTAAAGTTTGCAGGAACCACTGTTACAGGAAACACAAACGCAAGAACAGTTGAAATCTGCAAGGCTAGTAACTATTGGCATTGGGGTTCGCGGGAGACTTTGGCTCCCAGGCTCCATCCCATGTGACTCTCGTTCTAGAATGACCCTCCTCTTTTTACTTCCCTGAACCCCTCCTTCTAAATTTCCCTTCTTGGTCGGGGGGTGAGGATGGGGTAGGAGGTGGGGATGGAGACCTGAGGTCCTTCCATGTACCCTATCTTCAGGCCAGGGCTCAGTCCTTCCAGCTAGAGCTTCATGAAGATGGTCACTTCATGGTCATCTCCGGGCCACTCTCTGATGCAGCACGTGGCTCCATTTGGTGCTCTCAGGAAGGACCTGAGTTTTCACATCAAAGTTGTGTAGATGCTGGTGGTGGCCGATTTCCACATTTCTGAACTTAGCCCTTTTACGCACTATTTTCTAAACGCAAAAGATGATAACAGTTCATGAAGCCCTAAGAAACCCTGGCTTGTACGGCTGTCAGTGAACTCACGCGCCCCGCCAATGGCAGCAGGCCGAACTGAATCCTCTTGCACCTCCAAGACTTCTAGAAAAAAGGTGGCCCTCCGGGGCCTGGGGAACTAATGACTTAATGCCTACAAAGCCCTAGAAACAACTTACTGCAGATAAGGTCTCATTATGGTTAATTGTTATTATTATTGTTGTGATTGTTCTCAACCCAGCTCCTATGAAAGGCTGCCACAGCTCCGCTAAAGACCTCAGGTCAGGGGTTTAATTAATACCTCCACTGAATGCCAGAGGCCCCAGGCACCATGTTGCCGCCCCCACATCCGCGTCCTATCTCCCCTGAGCCCCGCCCACAGGGTCCTTTCCACCCTGGAATCTGCCCAGTTTCTACCTGAGTGGCTCCATCATGCTTCACTCCTGCCAAAGCTCCCCCTCCCAGCCCGGACCCCAGCTCTGCACCTTTCTCCTCCCTTCGCTGCCCCTCGCCCACAATCTCACCTCCCTCTTTTGATTTTGCCTTCCCTCTCCTGCAGTTACCTAGTCTTAGGGTGGTGGCCAAAGAGTTCTCAGGAGCCAAGCCTTTTGGGGGGGGTCATGAAAACTAAGAGAGGGTCCCCTGCGCCCCACCTTTCTTCCTTTCAGTCCCCGCTTCCCAGGTCTCCCACCCCACCTTGGTGAACTTGGGGATTGTTCCTTAGGTGGTGAGGCCGGTTGGGTGGGTTGGCTGGTTTAGGGTTACGAAGTCTGGCACTAACTCACAGCCCCGTGCAACTGCCTTCTTTAATTAATTAACACCAATTTTTACAAAACCATCTCTTCCATTGGACCTCAGTACATGCCTCTGGGGCATATGTCACCTCAATTACAGACAACAATTAAGCGTGCTGCTTTAAAGAATTGGTGAGCCTCTTTAAAGACTCAAACACAATTCGGGCCTGAGGACCTTAGAGCAGTCTGCTGCAGACAGGGCCTGAGGCAGGATCTACCCCCTCTTCTAGCCCCTCACACACACCCCCACACCCCCAGGAATTGGGCTGCAGCGGTACACTTAGAGAGGATGCTCTGCTAGGCCCCTGCCCTCAGCTGCCCACACCCTAACCCAGGGTTTTTCTGTCTTTGCTTCGATACCAGAAAGCTAAGCTGTTGGGGGGAGGGGGTTGGTGGCCTCACTTCACTAGTACCAATGTCCCTCAGATCCCAAAGCCCACCTCCCCACTGTCCTCACTGGCCATCTTGCATGAATAAAGATGAATCCAGGCCCTGGAACAATAAGACAGGGACTGAGTTGATCTTTCTTTCTATCAGTAAAGATGGTATATGCAGGGTTACCTGATGGTTTCGCAGTGGTTTGAATTAGGAAAATGGTTGAAGATGTTTCTTTTCAATCCTCACCCTAGAGTATTTTTTCCCATTGATTTCTGGAGAGAGTAGAAGGGAGGGAGGAGGGGAAGAGAAAGATGGAAGAGAGAGAGGAGTGGGGAGAGAGAGAAAAAAAACATCAATGTGAGAGAGACACATCAACTGGTAGCCCTGGCCCTAACCCTAACCCTGACCGCGGGTGGGGAACCTGCAACCTGGAGACCCAGGGTTTAGTTCTGGTCATGTAACCCTTCAAATCCAGACCTCATCTGTTGGAAAAAAAAAAATAGTGGGAACAACATTTTTCTGCCCTTCCTACTTCCTGTGGAGGGAAGGATTAAATGGGGTAATGCAAAAGGAAGATTTGCAGAAATTGTCATATAAATATGGTTTTTAAAAAATTATAAAATGCATTTTGAGGAACATTTGAGATCTCGTTCCCCAGCACATGTTGTCAGTTTGGCTCAAATAAACTCATAAAAATTTTCTCTAAAAGAAAAAAAAAGCATTTTGATGATAAGTTCACCCGAGTAATCAAAATCCAACTCTGGGACGCTTCAAACGGAGAAGCTGATATAAAGAAACCGTAGCTGTGAAGCCCATGACAGCCCCGGCCATGCATGTTGCAGCTAAAACAAGCTTGAGGCCCAGGCGACACTGGCTGTCCCAATAGCCTCCCTCATGTCCATCCCCAGGGTGGAACAGCTGCGTCACACAGCTGGCCCTTCGGTGCATCCTTCCTTTTTCTCTTCTAGGGCGTTCTGGCATTTATTTTAACTTTTCACTAGAATTCAAGTAGGGGCGGTGGGGCGGTGAGGGGCACAGAGTGAGGTGAGGTGAGAGGGACACATCGAATGGTAGCCCTAACCCTAACCCTAACCCTGACCCTGACCCTGACCCCGGGTGGGGAACCTGCAACCTGAAGACCCAGGTTTTATAGTTCTGGTCATGTGACCCTTCAAATCCAGACCTCATCTGTTCAAAACAAATAGTGGGAACAACACAGAGGCCCAGGGCCCATACCCCTCTAATTTACATGCATAAGAGTGCACGCATGCACGTATGCATCCAAACCCCATGATAGAAAAGCCAAAAGCCCAGCTTGCTGCGCTGTCTCTCAACACTGTCCCTTAGAGCTCTGAGAAAAGGTGAATGAAAAGGGGGAGTCCAGGACAGCTTTCTCCATTGTGTAAAAGGAGCAGTTCCCTGTGAGAAAGGCTCAGAGATGAGCATTGAGTAGTAATTCTTAGGAAAGGAATGGAATTACAAGGTATTAATGAACACAGTCAGCTTTCTAGAGTAGAACCCTAGGTACCCAATCTGGAAGACTCTAAGAACTATACAATCCCCTCTTTTCACAAGGCTTAAAAGTAAAGTTATTGAGCAAAGGTCACAACACTCAAGTATGAGAGCCTAGGAGACCATGGCCAGGGCTCTGGTCTGGGTCCACGTCTGGGTGCGGTAGGATGGGGCTATGTAGTTAGTGCTTGGGCAGGCTGCCACTGGCCCCTCTATAAGTACAGGTGGTAAGAACTATAACTGACCAAGTAGTGGTTCTCAGCCTTCCTAATGCCACGACCCTTTAATACAATTCCTCATGTTGTGGTGACCCCCAACCATAAAATTATTTTTGTTGCTACTTCATAACTGTAATTTTGATACTGTTATGAATCGTAATGTAAATATCTGATATGCAGGATGTATTTTCATTGTTATAAATTGAACATAATTAAAGCATAGTGATTAATCACAAAACAATATGTGATTTTATGTGTTTTCCGATGGTCTTAGGCGACCCCTGTGAAAGGGTCATTTGACCCCCCAAAGGGGTCGCGACCCACAGGTTGAGAACCGATGGACTAGGGGAACATCTCTGGAACCTTGGGGAGCAAAGAAATACAGTGAACAGGGGACTTGTACCAAGCCATCCAGTTCACGTGACAGAAACCAGATAGCTCTGTTGCTCTTCATTTTATTTTTAAATATATTTTTAGTGATTTCAGAGAGGAAGGGAGAGTGAGAGAGACATAGAAACATCAATGATGAGACAGAATCATTGATCGGCTGCCTCCTGCACACCCCACACTGCGGATCGAGCCTGAAATCCAGGCATGTGCCCTGACCAGGAATCGAACTGTGACCTCCTGGTTCATAGGTCAATGCTCAACCACTGAGCCACACTGGCCAGGCAGCTCTGTTGTGCTTTAAATGAAATCTCTGAAGGTTTTCAGGACTGTCAACGTGAACAGAACTTTTTCCTAAAACTTTGTAATAAAAAAAGGAATGGGTTCTGCTGGTTTCTGACCACTGCCTTCATGAGAATGGTAGTGAAGAACTCTACCCATGGCCAGGAAACCAGCTGACAGAAGTTTGATCTTCCAACAGTGCCAGGTGTGGGTGCTAACTGTTGTCTGCCGTGACTGCTAAGCTGCAGTGCCAGAGCTGAAGAAGGGAGGCACCGAAATTAGTAGTCTGACTAAGAGCAAATGCCCTCTTCTTGTGACATGTCAAGTGATGACACTGGTTGGCAGCCCCCTTCTCTTGGTAGGTGTGTGAAGGAGAGGAGTTAAGAGAGAGCAGAGGAAATAGAATCTCCTTGCTAGCCCTGAGGCCCAAGGCCTTCCAAAGCACCAATCACCAAGGTTTCAGATACACGGAGGCAAGTCCCAGGGTCCTAGAGAGAGAAAGAAGGGGGAGGCGGGCATTGAATAAGGGAGATGTGGATGTAGAACGGAATATTAGAATTACTCTCCACCAAATGCCAAGGCTACCTGTTTTTTACTCCACAGGAATACGTAGCCGTTTTTCAGAACGGGCCTGTTAAACCCTCTGAAAGAACAGAAAGTGATGAATCTGGGTCTTGTTCTGGCTCCATTGTGTACTGGGCTGGGTGGCTTCGGCTGCGCTATTAAACATTCCTTGGCTTGAATATCCTTCATTGGGAACAATACCTGCCCTGCCTGCCTCACAGGGTTTCTGGAAGATCTGATGAGATAATGAACCCAACCTCCCTGAAAAAACGCCATAAAGCACTCCTCACACAGAAGGGAAGAATATTACTGTTCTAATTACCAGGAGCCCGTCAGAGCGTTGGCCTGTGGGTGGAGAGTTCTAGAGAATGGAAGGTCACCTTGTTTCTTTAGCCGTCACTCTGCACCCCATCTCTTCCAGGCAGGACAGCCCTGACAGGGAGAGGGTGGGGAAGGGATCAAGTGTCCCAGAAGGCAAAGCTAGACGTCTCAGTCAGATGTTCTGGGCTCACCAGCCCCCGCAGATGCCAAGTCCTTTCTTGCATTGGATCTAAGTCTTCCCTTTTACGTCTTCCAGCTTATTTCTTCCTGTTCTACCCACAGGTTTCTCTACCTGCTGAAACAGGACATCATTGTTAGTGTTTATCCACTATTGAAGAACATGACCCAAAGTTGCCAAATTACCATTCCTGGGGTCTCGAGTCAAAGTGTAATAAACACCAAGCATCTGCTTTTGGAAGGGACCTTGAAGAACCCCTTTATTTATAAAGTTTCAATGTCTTCCCTAACCTTATCCCAGACTCAGGTCATTTTTACACACACACACACACACACACGATGCTATTTTGGGGAGAAGTGGCTGCATCTGTATTAAAACTGTGTGGAGATGTCAGCCTTAGTGCAAGAAAATTTATTAAGTGTGCTTTTAATAATAGGAGGCCCAGCCAGAACAGCTGAGTTGGTTGAGTGTTGTCCTGTGCACCGAAAGGCTGCTGGTTCAATTCCCGGTCAGGGCACATGCCTGGGTTGCAGGTTCCATCCCTGGTTGGGGCATGTATGGAAGGCAACTGATCAATGTTTCTCTCTCCCTCGCACTTCTCCCTCCAAAATAAAAATATATATATTTTAAAAATAATAGGAGAATTATGTAATTAGGAGAAGATTTGAAAAACATCAAGCCCTTGCCGTTTTGGCTCAGTGGATAGAGGATTGGCCTGAGGACTGAAGGGTCCCGGGTTCAATTCCGGTCAAGGGCACATGTCTGGTTTGCGGGGTCCATCCCCAGTAGGGGTCGTGCAGGAGGCCGCCCATCAATGATTCTCATCATTGATGTTTCTATCTCTCTCTCCCTCTTCCTTCTTCTCTGAAATCAATAAAAATAAATAAAAAGTATTTTAAAAAGAAAAACGTCAAGGAAGTTTGGATTATGGTGAGAATAGGTCAAGATCCTTCAAGTTGCTGTCTTAGGGCTTCTCTACCTTTGCCGCCTTCATTTCCCTTCTCTGTACTCCAAGCACCTTCCATTACGGATACCCGCTCTTGGCTCTCAACTGGGATAAGTGCTAACTTGTTAGCTAATAGTAGCATTAATTATATTAATGATTAATAGCTAATTAGTCATAATGCGGTAATGCTTACAATGGAGGCTTCCTTTCTTGCAGCAGCTCTATGTCTCAAGCCCACACACATCCCCTTCCCTATTCCTGGCCCCGGAACGGGCGAGCGCCGCTCTCAAACTGTTTTTCCCACCATTCTGGCAATCTCTAAATGTCTCCACTTTTTACTGGTTTTTCTCATTCATCTGGCCAGTGATCACACTGCGTATTAGCTTGCCTCCTTTATGTCTGTCTTCTGTCACTCACATCGCCCTTCCTGTAACAAGGAGGCCACGGTCAAGATTTTTTTCTTTTTTTTTACTTTATCTCATAAGCCAAAGGCTCTTCTACTTCTAAGTCTCATTTGGGCCCACTTTTCAACTTCGGCCCCCGCTTTCTGCACTTCGCCTCCGCCTAATCCTCACCCGCCCCCTGTCCTGTCTCGTGCAGTCCCGCACCCCCCGCCCCCAGCTCCCGCCCCCTCGGCGTCTGGGCTTCCTTTCCGCAGCCACGCCCCCAGCCCCCGGGAGGGCGCCGC